AATAAAAAATGAAAAAAACTCTGACTATTATTACTTGAGCAATAGAAAAATGATCTTGACTAAGCTTGCTGGCCTTCTTTTTCCGAGAAAATTTAATAAGCGCACAAGTTTGTTCACTCTGATGCGTTATATTAAACAGCAATATGGTTCTTTGACTGAAGACAAAGATAAAGCTGGTTCTGCCAAGGTAATAAATCTGGGCATGTAAAAAAAGTAACCGTAACTACTAATGACAGAATACAAGCGGGTGTTAATTCAATCCGGCGAAATCAACTCATAAATTAATCGGATGCACAATCAGAAAAAGTACTCGCCTCTTTAGAAATGTTCAAAACCTTTTATTCCACCTCTGACTGACGGAATGATCCGTTTTTCCTTTAACATTGGTTGTTCTGAGTCCAAAGTAATTTTAAAGCGACGGAAAAAAAGCAAACATGTCAAATAAAAGTGCTTTACAGGGAGCAAACGTTCGCACCTCGTGCATTTCACTCAGACCTCCAGCAACAAACAAACACAGTCAACACACAGAAAATTCCCGCCTTGAGCCTGCGATAAGGGATGCGCAGAAACTTGCGCAGAACGTTTTTCCGCCCTGAAACTCTCACCCCCTCCCCCATAGTTTTCTCGTTTAACCTCTGGCTTACTTTGTGAAACAGACAAGAAAAAAAGCACACAAACAAAATTCCGTACAGGTTGTTCAATTTAATAGTGCAACCAATGCAAACCGACAGAGGCAACTATTTTAAAGGTTGCAATTAGTGGTTTACGTTTCATTATAAAAAGAAAAGAGAAGAAAAGCAAAAAAAGGAAACTTGAAAATACTGGATTTATTTAATACGCAAGTATGAAAGTCTATTTAAACTAAGTGACGTCACCAAACGTTTTTGTAGCGAAAATTTACGTCGATGTTGCGTTAAATCCCCAGAAACCATCGCGGCCTTGTATCACGGCCTATTTTTGGCGCGAAAAATGCTTTTCTGGCAACACGCGTCTTCCATATTTGGCATGAAAGCAATTAGTCATTGTGATGTCATTTTGGTTGTTATAGTAACAAGAGGAGAAAAAAGAAATCGTTTCGCGGACGTTTTCTCAAACGAAGGTTGTGTGTGCAGAGGGAAAGCTCTGTGAGCTCAAAGAAGGGCAATATTTTGATTTCAAGAGAGAGGAAAAGCGTTTGGTTTTCTTTTGATCGTCTTGTCAAAGGATTACTTAAACTCCTCAGCAACCTTTTGTCACTAGACGTTCTCATGTGCCTGAAAGCAACGACAGAAATTTATGAAATGCTCGTTTGCAAGAAGAACATGGAGATCGAAAATGTCGTTGTGAAGCCACAAAAGAGGAAGAAAATTCGGCGATTGAAGAAGCGAAAGTACTGTGCTCTGTTTGGCGTCGAGAGAAGAGACGAAAACGATGTACCCATTAAACAGCGAAAGACGAAGACCGCGGCCCCCGAGAACACAACGCAGTTTATCATGGCGGACAAAGAAGTGAACGAACCTTTCTTTATCACTTCTCCTTCGTCTTCGTCTCCAGCGAGCCATTGTACAAGCTCACCAGGATCAGTTAGAGGAACACCTCTGTCAGAGAGAGACTTTGCTTTCGACTCGTCTGAAGAGGATCTCGTTCAGGACTTCGAGGAGCTTGATTTCGACTTGGATTTCTTTCAAAGAGACTACGAAGCCACGTACAATCGTATACAAGAAGAAAGTTTACTGGCTCTGTCACAGAACGAACTAGTAACTAGATATATAGAACTTGAAGGAAAAGAGGAATTACTTCTCAAGCGTTGCCAAGAACTGACGAATAATCAAGCTAACCAAAAGAAAGAGGAATGTTCGTTTTCGAGGGAAAATTCGTCTTCAACAAGCACGACCGCGCACGCGGTAAAAATAGGAGAGGAAAAATTGCTTCGTCAGCTGGAGGCGTTACAGAGAGAAAACAAGTCACTCAAAGAAGAAAACTTGAGGTTAAAAGGTTTTTCTTCTTCTGCAGGGCTAAATCGCCTTTCGTAACTCAAATTTTTCTCTTGAAAGAGAATTAACGAAAGTAAAAGTTGCTACTAGGTAGCAAAAAGAAATGACGAAATCCACATGAAATGTGAGACAATTTTGTTGAAATTTATCTTCAGTGCAGACGTTCATCGAAACTAAACGGGTCGTGTGACTCATTATTTTCTTTTATTTTAATTTCCTTCATGTAGACATTTAGCTATATTGAAATCTGAAAAAAATGGGAAATTCAAATGTATTGGGGAAAAAATGGTTCTTTTAACATTGATGAGTTGGCAGGTTAATATTTTATTTATGTAATATTTGAAATGCGTAGGTTGGCATGAAATTGATTTTTTAAGGCCTGTGTAAATGCCCTTCAAAGGCGTTGAATTTGATCGATTCGGTGTCTTGTTGCTACGAGTTAAATTTCTGAGATTTTAGAAGCAGGCTGGTAATCATTTTCTATTTCCTCGAGACAATGTTATATGTAGGTGAAAAGAGAATCCTGTCTCTGGTCATCTGGTAGTGAAAGAAAAATGCCTCTTTGCATATTTGACATCTGAGTAGAACTCTTGTTTACAGTTTTTGCTGCTGTTGTGTATTAAGATAATGTTTAGAGGTGGACTTAAACTACCAGTTTTCCACCCTGTGAATTGTAGGTGATGTGGTGTTGTGACACTTGGTTCACTTGATACCAGTGGCATTGCCTTTGGACTGCACCACAAAAATGAGAAATGGAGATGCAGTTGTCCAGAACAGCTGGCTTGACTCCTTGTAAAGGTAAAGCCTGTTTGATGCTTTGAAAAGAAAAATGTTACCTCTGTTAGTTGCTGTCGGAAAGTAAAATCATGTGCATTAAAGACAGATAGCGACTATTTTCTCAATGAAAGTGTTTTCTGTTAATAAAGATAGCTATGTGCAGTAGTATCAAATATGTTATAGTACTGACTTAATTGCATACTAAAAAACACAGTTATTCTCATAGTGCATTCCTTGTTTTGAAAGGATTATTTACTAGTTTGGGAAAAGGGGTAATTCAGATCCTGGCAGTGGAGCAGTTCATAAGATTGTAATTTTCTGTTTGTAGCTATTGTGGAAGCATTGATTAGCTAATCATGTTGCTTTTTATTTCAAGCTGTGTGGTGGTGGATGGCACATGGAGTATCTATTACCATGTCAACACCTGCTGCTGAATTTCAGCTAAGTATCCTCTGCTGTTGTTCTGAGTTGTCAGAGTTTGATTGACCCTCTTTGTCTCATGCAACATTCTAACAACCTGAATGGCATGTACAGTCTTTCCTGGGGCACTTTCCATTTTGTCAGAACTGATTGGCCAGACCAATACCGTAGAAATGAGAAATTTATTTCTAAACAAAACTATTCAGCCAGATCAGTCAAATCCTAAACAGTATACATAAAGGAGAAGGTTTTTCAGCAAAACCTCTTGGAAAAAGCCTATTTTGTTTTCAAGCGCAGTGGTCTGGCCAGCACGTTCTGTCAAATGGAATTCTATGAAGATTGTGTGATTAGGACTTTCTTTGTATTGCTGTTGCATGTCTCAAAATGCTATCTAAAGTTGAATCTCAAACACTGATTTATGTTACCCTTACAAGATTTCACCCTTTTTTTCCCCATAGAATTAATGGTCCATCTGTGAAACATTTTATCCAATATTGCACATTGATTCAATGATCTATTATCGACGTGATCAATGACTAAAAGCCTTTCTATTAACTCATTGTCTCCGGCGACTAGGGCCGTCGATGTCATGACATCGACAACGAAAAAAAACATCGCAAAAAATCGCGTTACTTCCGCTTACCTCCAAATTTGGCCCACAGGAAGTTAATAGCTTTAGCTAATTATGTGCCTAGTTCCAGCCCCCTGCGAGTTTTGAGCTTCACGCAACGATTTTTCAAAAATGTAGAAAAATGGCGGTGCGTAGTGAGAAGTATTTGGGATGTTTTTGCGTAGAATGAAAGCTTATATCGACAAATTTCAATCAAATGCAAGTCAAGCAGATTGTTTTGAAGGATTTTGGAGGATAACAAGCAAAACAAA